AAATAAATGTAAAAAATAAATTTTTTTAAAAAGGTAATTTTTAAATGTTATATTCCACATTATTTAATATTCCAAATGAATGACTTTTGAAAAGGGACCATGTAAAATAGTAATATTTAGCACAGAATATTCATCATATTCATAACAGAATATAATAATATTCATCACAGAATAGAGTAATCATCCTGGTTGGCTGTGTATTTAAATTTTGTATGGTTATTCCTTTTCTTCTGACTTCTTGCCTTCCCTGCCCGCAGTATATACAAAGTTATTGAGTCACTTAAAGATTGGGCACATTTCTATTTGTTTTTATTTTTTGAGACAGGGTCTGGGGCTCAAGGCCAGCCTAAACTACATTTGTGAGACCCAACACACACAGCAACTCAAGTGGGGGGTGCAGTGCAATCATAGAGCATGTATTTACTAGCGTACCAAGGCTCTGAGTTCAATCCCAGCACGACCCTATGAAATCCTGCTGGGCGTGGTGGCACACACCTATAATCCCAAAGGGGTGGGGAGGCGAGGCTGAGGAAGTTAAAGCCAACCTGAGCTACACAGTGTTCAAGATCAGCCTGAACAATATAAGGAGATCTTGTCTCAAAAAACAATATCAAGGGGCTGGAGAGATGGCTCAGTGGTCTAAAGCACCTACTTGAAACAAGCTTGGCAAAGCACAGGGACCTCGGTTCGATCCCCCAGCACCACATGCCAGCCAGCCCTGCCCCCTGGTGGGCTGAGCTGGCCACACACACACACACACACACACACACAAAAAACCCCACAAAAAAACCAAATCATAAATGATGTTTTCACAAATTTGTGAATGAAAAATTCAATTCCCAATCACATTACATAAATTGATATTTAAATTGTACTAAACAAATAAAACACTGGCTTATTTAATGAACAGTGCTAAAATCACTTACCCTTGTCAATGACAGTTTTATTTATTTGCGGTGCTAAATGAGGCAGAGACAAAGTCTCAATAAATAACCCAGGCTGGGCTCAAATTTGTGATCCTTCTGCCTCAGAGTGCTAGGGTTACAGAGTATACCACAGTACCCACCTGAGAAAGTGATTTTGAAAATTTTCTTTTCTATAAATGTATCAGTACAGCTGATTCTTATTACGAACCTTTATTATTTTTGGTCCCAAAGGGAGGATTCATAATCACTGTATCAAATGACTTGGGCATTCTGTTAGATGATGAGCACACATCATATTGAATCATATCAACATTTGTTAATTCAAACTCTTCCACATTCCTGTTAAATATTTCTAGCGCATCTTCATCTATGTCGAATCCAACACACAGTCTATAAATAAAACATACAGAGTAGCAACTTAGAGCTCTCAAGTCAAAACAAAACAAAACAGAAGTTATTTTACCATTTACTTTTTCTTTTTTTTATATTGGGGATCAAACTCAGGGCCTCGTACTTGCTAGGCAGGCACTTACACCACTGAACTATCTCAACTGCTTTGCCATTTACTTTTTAATTCAACTGACAAAGAATGACTGTTGCTTTTTGATAGCATAATTTCCCAATATGGGAGGGATGAAGACTCAGTTTTAAGTAAAATAAATAAATAAATAAATAAAACAAAACTTCTGTCTCACCAGTGTGATTTATTTTTATTTTACTATTTTCTTTTCTGGTATCAGGAATCAAACTCAGGGCCTCACACTTGCCAAGCAGGCACTGTACTGCTGAGCTACATTCCAGGCCCACTGTAATTTATTTTTAATGAGTTTTTGATCTTCTGCCCATTCAAACTTTACTTAGTATCTCTGCTCTTCTCATCTTGTAGAATCTCATGAATATAACTGACTGTGTTCACATTCGTTATTAAGGCCACCCCATACCCAAATAGTATAAACTGGGTCACCTACCCTGCTCCTAACATTGCAGTTCCAATGCTAAGCATTCCACAACCACATCCTAGATCTGCAACCACTTTATTTTCAATGTCATCATATGTGCTATGGATTGTATATAGCATACGAGCTAGAAAAAAAAAAAATAGGGAATAAGAAAGCTGATTACTAAAATCCAATTTGTGTAAATGACTTCTAAAATAATTTGGTTTGTAGTATTTAGCCCTCTAACTGATGTTCTAGATTATTTTTAAAGAGGAGATAAGGTGTAATAATTTGATATGTAGTAAAAAGCAGCATGAAGGAGAACAACACCCGCTGGTCCCAAAAACTAGTGTCTGCTGACTTGCAAGAAACTAACCAGTCTCTAAGTTAAACAGAAAAATTAAATCAAGAAGTTTCAGTCTGTTCAAGATATTGCTTACCCTCTCTTTTCTCACTCTAAATTTCTCTTTTCCTTTGACAATGAAATATCTTTTATGAAAGAATATTGAGAATGAATAGATTTTTAAATTATCTTTCCTTGTCAAAATATAAATTTGACAACCCTGTATCAGTCTCTGAAACTGTTTTGAAATTTTACCTATCTTCGAAACCTGCCAAGTCTAGGTACCACTGATGTCAAACAAGCATGAGCATTAAAAAAAAGCGGGGGGGGGGGGGTGACCAAATACCTTAGAGGATTAAAGGCTGGGTTTCAATCCCCATGCCTGCCTACTGCCCCAATTTTGACAGAGATTGAGACTGGGCATGGTGGTGCATGCCTGTAATCCCAGCTCTTGGGAGGCTGTAAATAGATGAATCACTATTCTGATCTAGTAGTGAGACCCAGAACACCCTGTAGACCCTTCCCTTAAAAAAAAAAAAAAAGACTTGTTTTGCAAGCTTATCACTAGAACACGGGTATCACGAGCTGCTACACCTACAATATAGCCTTTAGACACATACTCCTGATTTACAGACACACATTTCATCACCTACAAGTAAGACCTGGTAAGAACTCAGGAGCAAGACAGAGGCTGCTAAGATTACAAAGACTTTTCATACTCACCGCTCTTGCATATACCATTGGTTAAGCATGAGTGACACTAGTGTATCTTCCTGTGGATATCAAAACTCGGCAGGGCTGCTGGCCATCACTGATGCCTGGATTCAGCCGTTTTATTAAACACAAAATTACATGGATATTTTATACTCACCATGCTGACCTGACTGCTGCTACTGATTTTTATTTTTTATTTTACAAAAACGACCCAAAAGTGGGTATGAAACTGGGCCAGGCATGATGCTGTACATATGTAAGCAGAGACAGAGACAGACAGAGAGAGAGACAGAGACACGAAAGTAAGGAAAGAAAGGCCCTCAAATTTTGGAACACTTGGGGATTTTTGAAATTTTTATTTTGGGACAGGGACACTAAACAGCTCAGCCTGGGCTCAAATTCGAGATTCTCTTACACTTCAATCTTCCAGAACCAGCAACTACTTTAGGAATTCAAGGTTGAAGAACACTAATAAATTCCTACCTTCTAAAGAATTTTACAGTGTAATCAGAAAAACAGATTGAAAAGATGTCAAAATGTTAACTGCAGAAAACCAATCCGTAAAATGGTAGTGTGTACGTGTTGGGAGTGTGGGGAGCATGTCTTTATTTGCGATGTCAAGACCTCTGGGGCCGGGGAGACAGCTCAATAGAATAAATGCTGGCCTGGCAAGCACAAGGCCCTGAGTTTAATTCCCGATACCGCCAAAAAAGGAAAGACAGACAGACAGACCTCTCAAGGTGGACGTGTAATCCCTGCACTCGGGAACCTGAAGCAGGAGGATTTTGCGAGTTGGAGGCCAGCCTGGCTACAAAGTGAGCTCAAGGCCCGTCTGAATGGCATAGTGAGACCCTGTCCCAAAATGACGAAAAGCAAAACAAAGCCGCTCTAATGTGGTCTTAGGGCAGAATTTCTCTAGACATTCTCTGTATTCAAATAGCAGTCGCCTTTTCATCCCCAAGTGAGGGGGCAGCTAATCAGAAGTGAGGACACCTGGAGCCGACCGCCCTACCTGCAATGTGTGGCTGGGTCAGATACTGTTCTAGACGTAGCTTGGGTTTTTCGAATCCATCCACTTGTTGCAGGCGGCTTTCTAGTTCCTTAAGCTTTAACTTCATTTTCTGTCTTTCTTTGGTATGTGCTCACAGGGCTTAACCTCATTCCATCTGCACGGAAATCTAGCTGGATCTTTTCTTCCTACTCCCCCTCGCCTTAATCCCCTTTTCACGCCACTGCCGGAGGACTGGACAGGAAAGGTGGGGATGCACAGCCAGCCTCGGATTCGCGCCCAAAGCGTCCCACGCTGCCCCGAGGCCCTTGGGCGCGTGGGGGGGGGGCTGCTGCAGACGCCCCAGTTCACCGTCCGTACAGCAGCCGGGAACACTCGCACCTCCAGCGACGCCGGAAGCGACACTACGCACGCGCGCACGCCTCTGCCGGTTTGAAAATGGGGCCGTGCTGCAACTTCTGCCCAACGCGCAGGTTCCGCGAGTGACTCGGACGCTTCTTTGTCCGCATGCGCAACATTGGCAGCCCAGTCCTTCCATACTCCCGGCCAGAATTTGTCGCCTTGCCGCGTGCCCAGTAACCTCTATTTTTGCCTTGAGTACACAAACCCTAGAAAAATGGAGGTAAAAGAGGATGAAAGCCTCAATATTTTGTTTCCTGGCCTCATGTGACCCGTTTGTTTTTCTCCTACGTCCCCTCTCAAAAGTGCCGCTGTCCAGCCACCATTTGCATGCATCGCTCTATTGTGATTTTTGTTTCTGTCACTCCAGGCCACCAGAGGCACTTCCCTCAGGCGCGCGCTCAGGTCAGCCCAAAGGGAAGCTAACGCATTCAGAAGCGGGAATGAAGGCAAGCTGTCGCGTGCTTGAAGGTCAGGCTTCTTAGAGAGGCTGAGTCTTAGTGGATTCAAGCGAGAGGACAGTTTAGGAAATAAAAACAGTAAACAGGAACAATTCTTTTTTTTTTTTTTTTCCTGTTTTTTTTCCCCCCATAATTTTATTGAGAAACAAATAGCAATGAGACAGTTTCAAACCAAACTGGTAGGACAGTTTCAATAATTAA